GGAAGGGAAGGGAAGGGAAGGGAAGGGAAGGGACGGGAAGGGAAGGGAAGGGAAGGGAAGGGAAGGGAAGAAACCAAATATTATGGGAGCAGCCCACCCTGCTTTTATTTCTATGAAGAATCATAGAATTCATTAGTTGGAAGGCAACACTGGGGCCATCTAGTCTGTCCCCCTGCTCAAGGCCGGAGCCCCTGTTCAGGCATCCCTGAGGGACGCCTGTGCAGTGACAAGGAGTCCAGCGCCTCTCTGGCCATTGGGTCCACTGTCCAGCTCTTCTTGCATTGTCCCGTTTCTTACTCCTTATGCTGTCCAACTCTTCTTGGCAAGTTTTTCCCAGCATTGGCTCAGAATCTACTTTCCTGTAACTGAAACCCATTATTCCATGCCCTGAGCTGTGAGAGGAAGAGGACAGCTCTTGACCTTCTTCTGTGAGACATGCATTCAGAAATTTGAAGCATCCTTGTATCCCTCCTCAACTGACTTCTTCAGGCTAAAAATACGTTATTACCTTCTTTACTTAGGCTTTTGGATGCCACTTCAGACCCGCGTGGCATCTTCGACTCTTCAAGCTCTGTAGCCCCCTGATCGCCCTCCTTGCCCTTCTCAGGACCAGCTCCAGGTTCTGGGAATCCTCCCCAAAGGGCAGTGCCCAGAGCTGGGCCTGGGGCAAGTTGGGGTCTTAAAAAGCCTCTGCTGGGAGGGATGCTGGGAGGATGGCTGGGCAGTTATTTTAACCATGATTGTAATTGCATATCGAGAGATCTGTGCATGTGAATGGGCTGTGAGGCGGTCCTGCCACCTCTGAGCCCAGATGCTGGATGGTAGGACCAGGGAAGAGTTCGATGCCCAGACCTTCTATAAGGAGGGGAAATCAAACTTTTTTTTTTTTAAGTGGGGTTGTGAAATTCACTAGAAACTGACCAAAGGGTTGCAACCTGGTTCTCCGGGAAAGCTGCCTGTGTTAGGGATGGCTTGCACCCAGAGCTGGGAGTTCTGGTGAAGCAAGAGCAAAAGAAGGTCCACCTTTGCTCCAGTTTCAAATCCACCAGGCAAACTCTGATTTGCCTCTCCAACAAGCCAGCATTAAGAGCACGGGCAGATCCTTGGCCAATCCAGAAGTGAGACAGAGAAGTGGGTGTGGAGGGGTCTTCAAGACTCCCCCCCCCCCCCCCCCCGTGCCCGTTGGCTTCCAGAGGCTTTTGGTCCATGCACTCCCTTGCCCTTGCCTCTGGAAGGATCTGCTGAGGGTCGGTGGAAGGGGAGCCTGGCTGAGCAACTTAATCTGAAGGATGGTTCCCAGCATGGCCAAGGGCCAGGAAGTGCAGGGGTTTCAGCCCCGAACATCTGGACAGCTGTCCTTGCAAACACAGCTGGCTTTGGCGGAAAAGCAGAAGGGCCTTCGCAACCTGGTCTTTCCCGTTCCGTAAAGCCGTCTTCCCCTCCGTCTCTCCCGTGCAGGACTGCGGTGGGCTCCTGTCCGAAGGTGACAATCAAGGCTGCTACCCGCTGGACGGCCACATCCTGTGCAAGAGCTGCAACTCGGCCCGGATCCAGGCGCTGACCGCCAAGGCCAGCACAGACCTCTGAGCGGGGCGAGGAGGGAGCACGGCGCTGGTCACCCGAGGTCCGAGGGCTGCTCCCAGGGGCTGTCCTGCACGTCGCTTTGCCCTCCCAGCCACACTACTGACCCAAACCGATTGCGCACTCACTCTGCACCCACGGCTGTCTGGGAAAGGTATTTCTGGGTGGGGCACGAAGACGCTTCCATCGGGGCTTCTCGGCACCCCCTGGAACGACCATTCCCAGGATTCTCGGAGAGATGTCACGTCACATTTACTGCACATCTGGTTAGCTTTTGCAGTGCAGATATCTTCCCAAAGCTAAGATAACTTCAGTCCAGGGGTGTCCGGGTGGGGGGAGTCAAAAGACGGGGGTCACGGCTGCACATTTGAAACCCTGCCCCTTTCTACGTGCATTGCTTTGATTGCTCTGCCATCATGGCTTTTCTGACTCCCCTCCGGGCGTCCTTTTTCAGCCGGTCTAGAGAAAACACCAAGGTTTCTCCCTGGCCTCTCTCCCCTTTCCGCTTCATCATATCTTCCGCCAGAAATCCATTTTTCCTGCCAAATGCCTTTTATTACCCAGCCGTGGAACCCCAGCCACAGATTGCGTGAGGCTTTTATCTTTCCCAGGCCGCCAAGTCCTGAGCGTGTTTTGCACATAAATATATATCAAAATTCACTTTATATCCAACCCAGCACTCCCGTATGGTAACCTGCCCTGATATTTTACAAGTGCCTGAAAGGGGAAGGGAAGCGAGCGAGGACTCCCAGCGAGGACAAAGGGGTGGGGAAACGATGGGAATGGGAGGCGCCCGTCTCGCTCACCCCAGGCTCAAAATAATCTTCCTCAGGGCGGAGACGTGGTTACCAGAATAAATGTTCTGGTTTTAGAGATGG